GGTCCTGGTTGGCTAGCACCGCCAGGATGCGGCCAGGATGCGTAGAGATGTGCGGCAGGATGTGCAGCTCGCCGCCTTGCGGGATGCACCTCAACCAATATTTTATTTCCCGCTTATATTTCTCATTTTTCGCGTTTCAAACATTCATGGCAGCTTTTCAAGGGGTCTAGTCCTCGCCAAAAACATTCCTCTAGTTTCACAAATTTGTAGTTCACATAGCTCCCTGCCTAAAAGTATTTTTATTTTATTTTTATTCCATGCTTTACATAATTAAGCACTTGTCAATGGAAAAGTTTTTGACATTTACTCATACGAACAGGCAACTTTTGGCTGCTAAAAATGCTGCACATGGCTCGAAATTAATTTCATGGCCCCCAACTTGGCAAAAAAGCAACAAGCGAGGACACACAACTAAACAACTAACAAAAGAACGAACACATGTTTTTAGAACGTGTTAATTAGGTGAGTTTCTGAGATGAATTTCCAGCACACCTTCCAAATTAAGAGTGTACTCGAAGAGGAAGTGAGCAAAATCCACGAAAAACTGGGCACGTGAGTGGAGTGCAGCCTTGAACTAGTGGCAAATTGCTAACAAGGTCGAAAAATTGGAGGAGGGGTTTTCCCACAGGTGGTGACTTAAAATAGGCGAGAGCTTTCATTCAAATAAACTTCAAGTTGTTAAATAATTAATCAAGTTTTATACACATTTTAAGCAAAAAGGGAGGATGGAAGTAAATAAGTTAATTCAGTAGAGAATTTATTACAAAAGAAATAGTAATACCATAAATATTAAAATGTAGTAAAATCAATATATTTTATTTATATAAATATACATGTTTACTTAACACCAGGAATTTATTAAACATAATTTAAATTTGACCGATGTAATAGACCCTCAAGACTTATAAAGCCTAGAGATCTTAAAAATATATGCCCAATCTCTAAAAAAAAACGGACAAAAATTATCTATATGATAAACCATTACTATACATTTTTTTCAAACTATATATTAAAAATCAGTTGCAATGTTGAATTTAAGTTATTGTGTTAATATATTAATGAACTTATAAACTTATTGCAAAACAAAAGTTATTAAGTATTCAATTAAATCTGTTTGTAGGCTTACCTAACACCTCAGCATTAATGTAACATAAAACAAATGTATCTATTTCGTTGACAAACGCAAAAATTAATTAAGATTGAATGTATCACTTACATTCATAATTGCTTATTCCTAAGTAACGTATTTCATACGTATTTTGTTAATAATGCAAGTAGTAAACCTTAAAGGCACTTAATGCTTGTGTATATAAAATATTTAACTTATATCTGCCAAAGACCCTGACATAAATTAACCAGATTGAAAACCATAACCATAAATTGTACTAAAACTGTAACTATTCAGAACTAATTGAATGGCAGTACAACCCCACCTCAGATTTCGATGAAGAGCCAAAGTAAAATCAAAGCGAATTTATGCTCTAATCAGGCCTAACAACTCGGGAAAATTGTTGAGACCCGCAGAACTGCAAAAGGCTTTTGCCTTTTATATTGATTTATAAATTTCTGCAGATTCCGCTGGCATCAGCAACAAACAAACTTTCAATGGGCAAACTTTCATGCGATGGCACATTATTCCAAGGGGGCCTACAACTATCTATATTACCGCAGAAAACCCCCTCCTCAAGGACGTTCTAATTGCATTTAATTAGCTGCCACGCGATGGCCTCATTTTTCCCGCTTTTCTTGCCGCCTAATGTTGAAAAGTTGACCGACATAAATTTCATTAATTAGTTGAAAATTTGGCCGGCACTTCTTGAAGATTTGTTAACGCTGCTTGGTCATTTGGCCAGCCGGACCTTTTTGGTCATTAAACAAATGTATTTATGGTCTGCAGGTCAGAGTTTTCAAAATGAGCATTTGTGAAGGAAACTTTAACCACTTAAGATCAACCGCAAAGTGGCGGCGCAATATGAAAAGTCTTGGCCCCCAACATTTGAGTGGAAACTTGGCCAACTTTAAGCGGCCTGCTTGAACTCGATGATAAACAAACAAAGTCGTCTAGTTTTCCACTTTCCGTTTGCCATCCTACGGCAGTTTCTCGCCAGGATTTCCCTGACATATATAGCTCAGCGGTTGGGGGATTGCAAAGGAAACTCGTTGGGCCATCGACAAATTCGGGACTGGGGGGATAAATCAATTGAAAAATATTAATGAATTATTTATGAGATAAGTTGGGAGGGCAAATAAAACAGGAATCGGAAATAAAACAAGTCGGGGCCAGTGGGAAATCCCCGCAGGTCCGAACCGCAAGAGGAAATAACCGCAGAGGAAAAAAAATAGGTTGGGAAAAGCGAGCGAGAAAAGCGAGGGAAACAAAGAAAAACGTCCGAGCAAAACCAAAACCAAAGCCCAAAAAGAAACGAACTGTAGAAAAATTACGCTGGAGACTAATAAAACAAGATTATTGCGGTAGGACCGCAGACAATTGGACGGGGGGATTTGAGCCAAAAACTAGACAATGAGCCAGCCCATAAATCAGCAGCCGCAGCAGAACGCAGACAACTGCAGTCGGTACGGAAAATTGGCTGGAAAAACTCAGCAACTCGGCCAACTCACACGCACTTAGGCAGTTTTCCCAGCACGTTGTTGCAGAAGATAATTATGCCAATATGGGTGAAACAATTCAAGCGGAAGAGTGGCAGACAGCAGTAGCAGTAGCAGTAGCAGCCGCAACAGCAGGCTTTTCCCAGGAAAAGCACCGGAAAATGTTCGTGTAAATATTAAATATTGACCAGCTCGAAATGGAGAATGGAGAATGGATACCGGCTACCAGCCACTAAAGCTGGCTAGAAATGTGTCTGGAATTCAATTTCGTTTGACACGTTCAAGCAAATGCAATGAATATCACCCAGCAGCTGAAGGCAATCAGTTGCCATCACTCAAATCAAGATAAACCGAAGGGGAAACTGTCAAATATTTCCTTAGTTGAAAGTGTGTGTAGTTGCATATGGTATGTGTTCCTTGTGGCTCTCAAAATTTTAAGATTTTATTGATTGCAAATTTAATTAATATATATTAAGATCGGCAGGCTTGCAAACATTTTAAACAGGAAATCGTATCAATCACTCAGTCATTGTGTATTATATATATATTTATATAACACAAAAGTAATAAACTGGCGATTTTAAATTGAGTATTTATTCGTCATTGATGAAATACAAACATAAAGTTGAGGAAGCAAATATTAACAAACCAGCTTTACCTTTAGGTCAATTAACTTTGATCAATAAATGTTGTTAATTTAACAACTTTGTAATTAAAATTGAAAATAAATTATTTTGAATCAAAAGTTTTTTTTATCATTTAGATGATGTATATATAAAAATTTAAAAGCAATTATATATTTATGTTATTCTCTGACGTTTTTATCAGTCTATTAAACTTGATTAAAAAAACTTGTTACTGATAAGTTAAAAATAAATTATAATGAATCAAATTAAATAATGGCTTTTGATTTTAATTTATTTTTTATATTATTTAATTTTTTCCAACTTTTACTATACTAAATCCAAAATTTATGTATTTGTCTGACGTTTTTATCACCTCATGTTTGCATTTCGCTCTGATTACAATTTCATTGTTTGGCCACGTTCCCACACATTCAATTTGTCAAACGAAAAATGTAAAATATTTATTAAACACTTAGAGCAATACAGCATAACAATTCATTACCAAAGTATGTACAATTAATGTTGACCGCATTACAACAAATAACATGCATATCATCAACTGCAAATAGAAACCGTCCAACCCGCTGATGAAATGCATTCAAAACCGCAGTAACAATCACAAAAAAAAATCGAAAAACTCATCACTCGTAATATTTTTACATGCTTGAAAATTAATTATTAACAAATTGCTCAGCAGGAAGGCGAATCAAATGAATGGGTCGTGTTATGGCTATTATGGCTGTGGCAGATGTTGCTGCCAGTTCAGTCCAGTTCAGTTCAGTCCCATCGTGAGCAATTTGTGCAATATGCATTAAATGCAATTTGAACTATTAAAAGCATACTTTTAAGTACACTTTGCGGATGTTGAAAATGGACGGACAACGGCCATTTTAGCTATTTTCCACGCACGTAAACATAATTTGCATTGCACTGAAATATTATGGCAGCAGCTAAATGTATGCAGTACACCAGTCGCTCCCACTTTTTCGCCGCTTTCCCTTTCCAAACAATAAAATGCAGAGGCAAAAAGTTGAAGTAGTAGAGCAAACAGACAGAAGGACAAAGGACATGGTCAGAGATGTCCTTCGGATTTTAGCTTGCCATTAAAAAACTTTTTATAACATTTTTATTGATTTCATAAATGGTGCAAAAAAAAAACAACATTGTTATTATGTGATTGTAAAACTCAAATGTTAGAAATTTAATAAATTGTATTTAAAAAAGCGATAAGCGGAAGAAAGTGTAAGTAAATTGTCTAACTATTTTTAAACGTTTATTCTATGTATTAAAATAGGCCTTTAAACTCTGGTATAGTTATGCTACGGTTGGTCTGCAGAATGGCAAATGTTCTTGAATAGTATTCATTATTTTTTTTAAAGCCTGCCCTTTTTTTATTAAATTAAACCTTATTTTCATATTGGTTAGATATAAATGTTATGTGTTTGCCTGTCAAATATAACTTTTAAAGTTGTCAATAATAATCAGCACTTGTAATATCGAAAAATATTGCGTATAATTTGTTATAAAACTTGAATAAAGTGCTTTTTAAAATTTCTGATATGTTTTTAAAACTAGCCTTTAAAATTCAATTTTTTGAAACTTAAAATTTAAATAAATGAGTTTTACTTTAAACATTTTAATATCCCAGCTTTATTAATAATATTTTTAACAGCATTAGCTGCTTTTTATGCCATTTTGGCCAGCTAAAAGTAGCCAGGCCAAAGGTTAAAATAGTGCCAGATCTGCGGAAAGGGCAAGAGCACTTACCGTTATAGAATGGCCAGAGTAGCGATTGTTGTTGCTGCTGTTCCATTGGTTGCTGTTGCTGTACTATGCTAACAACTAACGCCATTATTATAATAACTGCTCGCGTCGTCGTCGCTAGCCTTGTTGTTGCTGCTGTTGCTGTTGTTGTTGCTGTTGTTGTTGCTGCTGTTGCTGCTGTTTCTGCTGATGCTGTTACTGCTGTTGCTGCTGTTGCTACCGGAGATATTGCTGCTGGGACGTCGACATCAGCAGCATGGCCTGGGCTACGCGATTCGATGATGTCGACGTCGGCGGCGCCGCTTCGACGCGAAAATCCGCATAAATTTATATTGCAAATTTGTTGCCCCTCCTGTTGCCGTTGGTCCTGCTCCCGCTGTTTCCGGTGCTTCTGCTGCTCCTTCTGTTGCCGCTGCTTGTGTTGTTTAACAATAACTATTGCCGCAGGCATCCAGCGAGATTTAATAGTTTTTGCCTGTCGTTGAGTTTTATTTGCCAGTTTTCAGCTGATTTTTCTTGTTGCTGCATTTAAGTGCTGATGTTGCTGCTGTTGCTGCTGTTGCTGCTGTTGCTGCTGTTGCTGTTGCTGTTGCTGATGTTGCTGCTGCTGCTCCGGCCGCCAACGTCCTTGTCGACTTTAGCAGCATAATGCGCCATCCGTTTTTTTTATTTTTTACTGCTATTATATTTTGTTTTATGCTTACTTAAACTTTTACTTTTGCTAGCCGTCAATGAAATATTTCATCTAAACGCACTCTTGTTGGTTTTGTTTTTCTTTTTGTGTTTCTGCTTCTGTTTTCCGTTTTATATCAGTACACTTTAAATTTACCTTTAGTTTGCTTCACTGCACAGCAAAAATAAGCAATAAAGCAATCACTTTCTGGTTTGCAAGCCCCGCAACAAAATGTTCGTGTTAGAGAGTAAAAAAAAAGTGTGGCAAGGAGATTTAAAGCGTTCTATGTGTGGCTTAAATGTTTTGCAATTTGATGGCTGTCCATTCCAGCAGTTAAGATATCACTTTCATTTGTAGATTGAAACAATACAGCAACATGTTTGAACATGTTTGGTTGGCAAAGGGGAAGAGAGCTTGCCAAAACACTGTGCAACTCTAAGTGCTTTTGGCTTACCTCGAAAACTGGCTTATGCAACTGCAATCGCCATATATTATAATTGGTTGTTTTGATATTGCTTCAAATCACTTAGCAACACTTAAATTTTCGAATGCAACTTAGTGTTTTAAGCTTTCGGGTTACTACAGTTCTTAACAGCCGTGCTTTTATTTAATTTTTTTCTCTATTTGAACATATTAAAGTAATAAGCCAGGTATGAAGCCCAAATTGATAGGAAATTTTCCCCAAAGAAGTATAATTTCTTATCAATTGTTTTTTCTGTGTACAAAATTATATATTGTTAATCAATCAATAATCTTGTTTATAGCCAGTCAGTCTAGTATACCCCCCTTAATGTAATGAGTACTTTTTTAAGCTTCCACCTGTTGCGCAGCGCGTCAACACTTTTGCTTTCCATGGTTTTTCCCAGCGAATGGCCAAGTTTCAACCTTTCAATTCTGCCATTTTAGCTGCCACTTTCCCTGCACTTCAGCTTACTCCACTTTTCGCCCCGCCCCGAAGAAGGACCAATTCCCACGTCCTTCGACAGTCTGCTTTTAGTTTTGCTCTCTGGACGTCGGGTCCTTTGCCAGTTTTCCTTTTGCACATCAGTTTACGTGGCCATTTCTTGTTTCCAGCTTTCGCCCCCACAGGGCTCTCTTGGCCATTTGCTGTTAGTCTAATTTAATTGCATTCGTGGCTCGTTTTGTTACGTATACGCAGAGTGAGCCGCCGGCAGGGAGAAGGAGAAGGAGAAGATGGATGGAAATCCACTGAGGTTGCAACGCCCTGACCTGTCTGTGTCCTTGCTGCTCTGCATTCCTTTGTCAATGTGCCCTTAATCCTTATCAGTTGCACAAAACAAAACAAAGCACAACAGAACAGCAACCAAAAAAACAAAAAATAAAAAATTCACAACAAAATAAACAACAAAATAAACAAAGCAAATAAAAGCAAAAAGGCAAACATTTCGAGGTCCTGGCTTATTTTCCTGCTGACCCTGTTTGCTCCTCCACACTTTCACTTTTATTCGGGTGCAAGGTGAATGATTTATTATCGAATGGCGGCCGAATGGCGATTGCGGTCTGTGTGGCGGCCATTCTTTAAACAAACCATCGTAATTAATGATACAGAAAATAAAATTCAACACACACAAAACTTGGTCGCAGATTTATTGCCTTGCACTTGAACCAAACAATAAATAAACAGTGCTAGGATTTGGAGGAGGGGCAGGAAATGAAAGTGGCTTTGCTGCTGATTAGCCAAGTGTGTGCTGTGTTGGCTAGTGTAATTGCAATGGTGAGCTTTTAAACTGGACTTGTTGGGATTAATGAGAAACTAAACTGATTGGAAGTGGCTGCAAATATCCCAAAAAGTTGCCAAAGAGAAATGAAGAGAATTTATTAATTAGTTATTAATTAGTTTACATAAAAGAACGTTAAAATAATTAATATATAGGAAAAATGAAATTTAATGGTTTATTTTAATGTTGTTTAAAAAAGTGTCCAGCATAATTTCAAACATTAAAAGAAGCTATAAACATTGTCCTTACATTTTGCACATGTCTATTTAAATGTGAGTTTTTAAATTATCCAGGAATTTATTTCTCAAGGTGATGAAGTCAAAAATAAAAATGGCAAGAACACCCTTTGAGGGTTCATTAATTTTTCAAAAAAGTATAAGGCTGGGAAGAGGCAAAAAAAAAAACAATTAAAAAGTTTCCTAATGACAAGATAAAACTTTCGTCTAAGTGATGTACTGTAAAAACGATGTTTAAGATCTTATTACGTTTTCTTTTGATAAAGACACATTTTTCTATGAAGTTTCTAGGCAGATATTAAAAATTAATTTATAAAGGAAATATTAACCCTAATGAAAAGCTGCAAAAAAGGAAGCTGAATGACAAAGGGAAGCATCAGCCGGAAATAATGTTTCCCCTTTTTTTTTTGGGTTGGGAGCCTGATATAACCACATCACGTAAAATCAACTTTAATCAAGCGGCTCCACCTGCCATGCGATTCCCCACCGGAAACCCTGGGGAACCAATCAATAAAATGCCCTTTAATAATGTCGAAAAGAAGACCCGTCCGGGCAGTCATAAAAAAGCGTTCCAAAAACGATATGAAATATGCTTCATAAAGATTAAAACCTGTTCTTTCTCCTTGGCCTGCGGTAGCAGATGCAGCCGGAATGTGCCGGGCTACACATATGTACGTGAAATGGAAGGGCTTTCGGGAGTAGGAGACTCCTGAGTCCTGGGCTACATTTTATTATCCTAGCATGCCAGCACAGACGACCACAAAATGCGGGCCAACAGCTTGGGGAAGCCTTTTGCAGGCCACCTATGAGCTTTGCTTTTGGCATCATCCAAATCCTTTCCATACACTGCCGAAAATATTCCCTAAGTCAGACCATCTCAATTAAATTTGGTCACTAAAACATTTTTCCAAATATCAAAAAAAGTCTATAATTATTTCGCTAGCAATTAAAACAAATCTGAATGAGTGTTAAAATTTTATTACAATTGCAAGTAGCATTGTCATGAAAGCAACACCAAAAAATCACTAGCAAATATATTTTAAGCTTGCATTAAATTATATCATAAATAAAAGAATATTTATAATCGCAATTTGGAAGTTTACAAGAAGCTAAAATAATTATAATTAAAATAATTAGCTTATATTACTTTTTTAGTGCGATCTTAAATTACCAATACAGCTACAATTATTATTATATAATTTGCAAAAAATCAATTCAAGTTCCCAGCCATATTAATTGCAATTAAATTAATAAACACAGTTAACATCACTCAATCGCAACACACTCACTAGAAATATTAATCACCACTATAGATTGAATTATATTTACATAAAAGTATATTGCATAATTATGAACTTAACTTGACTACGGATTTGTTTTGTAGGGCTGTGCAACAATGGCTTTTATCATTTCTAATGAAAATTCAAATTCAAACTTATTAGCTTGTTTTATAATGTGTGGATAAGAGTTGAGTCAAACATTATCATTAAAGTACAAAACTTATGGCCTTATTTATATGTATAAGTTAGATTTACAGTGTGTGCATAAGACCTAAACTTGACTTAATTTTTATTTTTAAAGTACAAAGTACAAAATGTATTTGTATAACAGTAACATCGTTAACAATTCCTTTTGCTATGTGTACTAGTATGTCCATGGATAAGCGGCTTGGGCGCAGATCCAAAATGATGTGAGATGTGGAAGGGCAAAGAACAAGGAGCAGAAGGCAGGGAGGTCCTGCCTGGCAGGATGTCTGTCAATAAGCCTTATTCTACAAGATTTCATTTGCGTGTGTGTGTGTGTGTGTGTTTGCTTGGGTGTTTGTGTGTGGGATTTTCACAGGCGCGTGTTTATGAATTATTAGCATAAACAATCACACAGACGACGGCGCCACTAAGCCCTGTATGAATTCTGATTAAATGTAATGCGCTCAAAGCGCATTCAAAGTTGCCAGTGAATTATTGATGGCTCCCTTTTCGGCCAGCCACGGTCATTAGCCAAGTCTAGCCAAAAACTGGCCCCCCGAAACTGAAACTGAAACTGAAAATGAAAATGAAACTACCAGCCACCAACCACCGACAATGGTGTTCATTATTCAGGATATGTCCTTGGGGCGGGCGTTAAGCTTTCAATGTGATTAGGTGAGTCCACAGCTTGTACACTATACATATATATGTGGGTTCACACTCCATTAGAGTTGAAAATGCTGCCCCAAATTCTGGCTAAAATTCTTTGGCTTAAATTCGTGCGGCTTGGCTCTGACAACTTAAGCAACTTTTTGCGGCCCCCAAGGCCTTTGGCTGGGGGAAAAGAAAAAAAAAGAAAAGCATTTCCCTTTTTACATTATTTATTCGGCCCTTGACAGCCTTTTCATATATATTTTATACATTTTTATGCCTTTCCTCACATTGAGGAATTTTAATTTTCGCCGCGTCGAAGGCTGAAGACGGAAACTTTCGGCGAGTGGAGTGAAACCTAAGCCAGAAGCCCATCGAAGGGAAAAGCCCAGTGTCCTTGCTCCTTTGCTCCCTTTTGATTGATTGGTGGCAGAGGCAGTGGCAGCGACAGCCAGAACAAAAGTCCTTGCCAAAGTCAGGTGAATAGTCAGGTGTCAATCGTAAGCCTGTCTAAAACAAGGGCACAACAAAACAGGAGCACCTTTTTCCGACTTTTCCCAAGATGTACGGCCATGTAAATGAGATTTCTTGCCGCTCTGATTCCAGTTTTGGGTGCTCTCTTTTTTTTTGCCATTTTTAATTGGCTTGTGAGTCAAGAGCCACAAAATGACATTATAGCCATTGCCAGACGATTCGTTAGCCGTGTAATTGCAGAAGTGTGTTTAAAATGTGTAGCGATTAAAAACGAAAATTCAAGGGAATTGGGAACAACAGAACAGAAAAGCCTCGTGTTCGTTGGAATTTCATATATTTTTAGAACCCAACAAAAAGGCTTCTTATTTCACTGAAAATGTGGCGCTTTTAAGGGCTAGAATTTAATTAGGATTTATACTGTGAGCGAACAACTTTTTCAAGCCGGCTAATCCATTGGCAACAAAAGCGCGAACGAGTGCTTTGGCCCATCGAAAACCACACTCCCATACACCAAACCAAACTAAACCAAAACACACCAGTGCGGAACAAACTCGAGCACTTTCCTGCACTTGTAACACGGCCCAAAGAGCTGGCATTGAAGCCATCAACGCCGCCCTATTGCATGTTTGGGCCACAGTTTGGCCTAGGCCTAGCACACACACATATACACGGCGCAAAAATTGCATATCTAATTAGTAATTCATTAACATATGAAAAAACAGCAAATTAATCTTACTAGCTTGTTAAATTAGGTAATTTAATCTCATTAACTTTAACGTTTATTGCTTTGATTTATTGATTTATTTAATACCATTTATTTAATTTATCAAAAAAGCAAAGTTAGGTAATTTAATTACTGATTTATTTAACACTACCAATTTTATTTGATTTAAGAAGAAACACTTTAATTTAATTATCATTATAATTTATTATGCAAATATTAAAAAAAACATTAAAATTATATGGACTTTTGGGGTTTGATTCAAGATTATTTTTAAATTTAGGTATTTTATACCATCTAATTTTTATGATAAATTAAATTTAGCTAGCTGCACATTAAGTTATTTTTTAAATTATTTTTTCCCATGCCTCACCTATCTCCTATAAATAAACGAATTTCATTTGTCAAAATTGTGTAGACCAAAAATCTATTTTAAAAACAGCTTTAGAGATTCAGCTTAGTTCACATTAAATTATATTTGCAATTATTTTTTCACGTGCCTCAATTTGTTTCAATTAAGAATGCTAAATTCATTTGTGAAATTGACAAGCTAAAACGCTTTGATTTTGTGTGAAACACTTTTATTTAATTATTTCAGCTTTAATCCTTTTTACACTTATTTAAAAAAATAAACATGCAATTTTTGAAGACCCCAGTAGATTGCTTTAAATGTACGTGCTTTACACAATATCTTTTATATGTTGTTTTTCCACAATTCCACCTGCAAAATAGATTTAGCTTAAATAATATTTGCTATTATTTTTTTTTGCCGTGCCTCATCTATCTGCCATAAAAAAGGCGAAGTAAATTGCTTGACGATTTTCGCGTCATTTTTGCGACCTCACTTGGGGCATTAAACCAGGACCCCAGTCCTCAGACGTCCGCCCTTCTATTTGTACGCCTGGCTGAGCATAAATCACACGAAGGACGGAGGACGAAAAGAGGAATATGTGTTCAATGCTCCAATGTTCCAATGTTCGAATGTTTGCTTTTTGAGTGGTAATTCGGCACATTTGGGCTGCATACTTTGGGGCTGGAGCTGGCTGGCTGGCTGGTTGCAATTGACAGTTTATTTATTCATTTTGACAGTTTTATGGACACGCACGAACGAATCGGCGATTAGGGGGCTTAATTTCATGGTTAATCCGTTACAAATGTCAACTGTCAATTGGTTGGTTTTGTTTTTCAGCCGCCGCCCCTCTTTTAAATATCCATTCTAACCATTCTAACCATTCTAACCATTCTACCCATTTTGGGCATTTAAACATGGCTAATTGCAGTTGCATGTATGTGTTGATTAGATATGCAAAATCCTAGTTTTATGCGGCTGACATTTGACACAGTTGGTTATTGTTATTGTTGACTGATTATTGCTGTTTGTTGTTTGTTAGTTGTTGTTATTGTTTTTGCTGTTGCCTGTTTGCTGATTGACAATGACGCGCCATGTCGCCTGTCGAATTGCTGCCTGATTTGGACAAAAGGAGCGGGAAGTGTCCTGCGAAATGTTTTGCGGCACCCACACACACACTCACACACACAAACACAATTGATGACAATCGACACTGTTCATGAATATTTAAATTTCTATTGTTGTTTTCCGTTATTCACTCCACGGGGCCATTGAAATGTCCATTGTTTTTGGTCGAATTTCTTCTCGCCGCTCGTTAACGCACTTCAAAATTACGCCTTTCCTTTCCATTCCTTTCCTTCGTCGGCGTATAAATGGCGAAAAACTCTCGGAAAAACTCACGCTGACCCACTCGATTTACCGTGTTGTGCGCGGAAAGGACTCGAGGTCGCGAATGTGTGGCACTTCCGCAGCCCCTGGTTGCCGTCACAATACTGAGATCGGTGGCATGAACCATAGCTTCGATAGGCGAAGGCAAAGGCAAAGGCGAAGGCTTCCGAGTCACGATAAAAAAATAAACGACTACCACAACGTCACGAACAGCCAGCGATGTTGGCCAACACACACGCACACACACACACAGAATCAACAGCACTCACATTCACAAGTCGGCAAAGCTTTTAAGGAGTCCAATTCGCCGTACTCCGAATGTGTGTTAAAGCTCTTCGAAGGCTGGGGAAATGCCCTCATATATCTTTACCGTTTTATGTCAAAGGGTTATAATAGGCGCATCTACCAAATTAATTTTAAAGGTTCACAAAATTATGACTTCATTTAAAATATTTTCCAACTTAAAGTATTGATTTAGTATGAAATATAACTTAAAAATTAATATTTTTATAATTTTTAGTACCCTTTTCAAACAAAGGAAAGTACAAATAGATTCCTGTATATTTTGTTTTAAGCTTTAAGTGTTTTTTTTAACATGCTTACAAATTTTGTTATTTAAGACTCTATTAGTATCTTTCAAATTTGTTCGTTCTTTCAGATACTGCTCTCTTAAAAGTTTTTATTTTTTTAAATCAAAATAACCTCTTTGCTATCCTTGTACTGCTTTTAAGGATTCTTTATTTATTTCCTGAACTCCATTTGGTACCTATTTTGATAAGCGACACATCTTTCTTTATATTCTCGCACGGCTTGCTCACTGTTCACCCTGCTTGCAGCCTTTTTTTGTACTAAAATCCCGTGCCTAGCGCATTGAACTGTTTTGATAACGACACATCCTTCTTGTTTTTCCGCACTGCTTCAGTGCTAATTTCCTTCATTGCTTACACTGCTTGCATCAAACATTACTTTAAATCCTGTGCACTGCTTTTAAGGACTTTTTTATTCCCTCACTAAACTGCTTACATTTTCCATTTGCACAAAACTCCTTTTTCTTTAGTTCACAAAATATCCTGAAAGGCTTTTCATGTATTTCTGGCAATTTTCCTTCACTGCTTACTTTCAGGGTAAAAAACTTCCCCTTTTTAAATCCCCACCTTTTAAATTTCGCTTCTTAAAGGGAAATACTACCCCAGTCTCTTAAATTTTCGGAGTTGATTATATGTTGAATATTTTAAATTATAAACATAAAACTATAACATTCAAAATAAGTAAAAAGAGAGAAATTTTATATTCCCAAAATTTGCTAATACCATAAAGTGGTTTTTATAAGCTGCAAGTATAATTAGGTATTGGATACCATTCATGCATATGTTATGCGCTTGGCTTAAATTTCTAAATAATTGAAAACCGCAAATTGTCCATGAACTTGTTATGCATATGTTCTGCTAATATATCTAATCTATGCTCTTCATAATTTATAATCGACTGCACATGAAACTAATCAATTTAAACCACCATTTGCAGACACCGCTTACATTTCATCACCACTTTTCCTCGGTTTTCTACCACCACCCACCCATTCACATTCCATTGACATTTCACGTTCGTCAGAGTGAAAGTCGCTGTCTATCTATCCGCTTGCCCACCGTCACCGCCACCGCCCCTCACTTTCACTCAAGGTGAACTCAATTGAATTCTCAACATTTGCACATCAATTATTTCACAAGCAGCTAGCGAACATTTTTTGTATGGCGATAGAAATAGAAAAGCAACACAAAAAATGAAAATAAATCCAAGCGTAGTCGTGGCTGGAAAATCAGTCAGGCAAACACTGCATTGGCGGCTGCAGTGGCTCCTGCTGATCCTTCGACGCCTCCACCTGCGGATATTTTTTTTTTTCACTTTTTTAAAATTTTTTTTTGGGGTTTTGCATCCACACCCACTCGCATAACAGATTCAATGTCAAAAATTTGACAAACTCAACAAGAAGCGAAAAGAAAAACAGAGCCGAACAAAAACACAACAACTAGGAGAAATTTTCCCAGAGATTTTCGCTGACGAATTTGTGGCAGGTTCATAAATCCAAACAAGCAACAACTAACTAACAAGAAGAAGACCGGCGCAAAGAACAACAGGCATTAAAAAATCAGCAAGAACCGAGATGAAGTTCACTTAAAAAAGTATGAATTTTGAAACGGTTTCTGTTTTAATTAACGTGCTGAAGTTTACAGTCAAGTAATGTATGTTTTATAGCGAACTTTGCGAATTTGTCGTATTGATAAATATTAAAATAAATAAATACCTTACAATAGAAGTTCGCTCAAAAAATAAAACAAAATTGTAACAACTTAGGAGTTAACCTTAGATTTATGAAATTATGCAAAAATTAAAGTTTAAGTAGTTATATAAGTTGTAAATAAACTAACAACATTAAAAATCTAAAGACAAACTAAAGTGGTTTTTCAATATATTATACCTCTTCTCAAAAATTAATGTATTCTCTATAATAAATAAATAAATATTCTCAATAATAAATAAACATCATTAAAATAAATCAAATGAAAAATGTTAGCCATTTCTGGTAATATTATAGCACAGTGCAGTCATTTAAAATAACTTTTTTCAAACGTGTGAGCTAAAGAAAAACATGTGGTGGATGAAGTGTAATTTTTGGCGCCAAAAAAGAGATAGAAATGCGGGAGGATGAGAGCTAGAAAAGCGAGAAAAAATGCCAAACAAAACGAGAGCTCGACACAAAAGTCGCTTTCAAAATTTATTCAGTCAGCGTCGAAGTTCATTTGAGTGTCATAAATCAGTTGGCCCCAGAAGAAAGAGATCCAGAACCAGAACCACCCACCCAGAACCAGGGAAAGTCGGTGGAAAATGTTGCCAGTGGGTGGACGGACCACTAAGGGAAAATTCAAAAGGAGTGCGGGGGCCAGGGAACAGGGGGCAAATAAATGACAACTTTGACTATTGGCTGCCATTGCACGTACAACAAACTGCAGCTTGGGCACGATTCAGCATCGTTGCCATGGCCCTCGCATATTTCCTTGCAGCGGAAAAGCGTAGGAAAAGCGTCGTCGGCAAAGGAAAATATTTTCGAAATCGTAGCTACTGCAGTAGCAGCAGCGGCAGCAGCAGCAGCATCAGCAGCAGCAAGTGGAGCCAAATGTCATGAGAAATCTAGTCCGGGGCACCCGGCACACAGAAAAACATTCCTTAAGCGGGTGGCATGTAGCCATTGGAAACTGGTGGCTGGTGGGTGATGGCTGGTGGGTGGTTGTGGGCTTTGGGGTTTTTCCACCCAAATTGGAGCCAAACATTTCCCCCATCGACTTGATAAAACATTTCTTCGTTATAAATCAATTTGAATTGCGCGAGCAGCTTAAGCGACAAACGATTTGCAGGCAGTCAACCACCGAGAAACCAAAAAACCAGAACAAACCAACAAGAATGGACCAACTAAAAAATGAAGGATATTCGCCAAAGCAGAAAATGCTGTTTATTTAGGCAATTTGTGGAAAAGACAAAAGGGAGTGAAAATCCGCCAGTGAAAAAAGCCATACTAATCGAGCTGGTACTACTTTTCTTAAACTATGGCATAAAATATTAATATTTATAAAGCTTTTATTTCAACAGCTGATGTACGAGTATTAAACCATTTTAAAGCTTTAAAAACAAGCCATTTACTTATTTTATAAATTCTTACAAAATTAATCAATCATAATTACATTCACTTTTTGCTAATGAATAATGCATATACATAAATCGCTTAAGTGTAACGCAAATTACAATGTGTTTTATGTATTATATGCATGTTAATAAATTTTCACGTCATGTTTTTAAGCCCCGGTTTTAAGAGTTGACACTCAAATAATTATAAACAATATGCTAATTAAATTTATTTTTATATTTGGTGAAATTCAAATAGAGTAGCCCACATTAAATCATTATATAAATGTATTTTATATTAACATTCTTAATTTCACTTTATGTTTTAAAGCATTTTGATATATTTATTTTTTTGAAATACCAAGCGATCTAGAATAAAATCAATACATAAAGTTTTTATTTTTGAATATTATACAACCGGAACATTGTTCGTATACATATTAATATGACTAGACTTATCTTAATCCTTTATTCCTAATCATCTAATTTAGAGGATTTTAACAAGTTGTTTATAGAATTATTTTGAACAGCTATTAAGTTTCTTAAAATCCTAAACGTACTAAATAAGAAATGTAAATGAAAACCGAGATCGAGAAAAATCGCTGTCAAGCCCTCGGCACTTGCTTATGTTAAACAATCCAGCCAAAAACTTGTCATGAAATTTGTATAAAGATAAGCATAACGATATACCCCTGCCGCCTTAACCCTTTTCCAACAAACATATAGTATATATAGTGTACTATATGTGTCCCATCTCGTTCAGCTGCTGCTGCTGCTGCTGCAAATGAAGCGCTAAATCTGCAAGTGTCAAGCACAGGAGCTGCAACAGCAACATTTCCTATTTTTTGTACGTATCTCTTTGTAAGCATTTTATTTTGGTTCCTTTATTTTGCTGTTGCTGCTACTCTGTGTGTTGTGTGTGTGTGCTTAATTTTTTTGTTTTATTTTGTTTTGTTTGAGGCAACACCAGCATTGTGCCGCATTTTGCTGCGGACGGGCCTTGCCCATTTGCATATAGGTGTGTGTATGTGAGGCTATGCGGAGATGCTTCCATTTAACCCACTGAGCTCGTTTTCACAGCCGCCAAAAGCAAAAAAAAAAAAAAAAAACAAAAACCGCACACAAACCGGAAGTGAAACAATGTACAGCGCTTACACATATGAATGGTAAAAGGTAGAAACAAAAGAAAAGAAGGTAATAATAAAAAACACTTTTACACCTGCCGGCAACAGGGCAACCCAGAAATTGTTTGGCCTAATGTTGTCCTAATGCCGAGCATTTCCCTCGAACAAACGAAATATTTGTTTGCGGAAATCATCAGCATCATCATCACTTCCGCCATGAGTTGCTCTAGCCCCAAGGAGCTGCCTCACGTGCTGGTGCCATTTCTTATAAAATTTTACTTTTACTTGACT